AACACTTGATCTACAGAGGACCTGAACTTCTGAAGGGAATGGCTTGGGTTAACAGGGAATAGAATGCATGGCAATAATCTGAGGCACTAAGGGAACCTTCAGCATGTATCTGGGGTAGCAAACCAACCCAGGAAGGTAGCTGATGCTCTGATGCTCTCAGATGCGGAAGAAGAAAACCCTTGTCCTTGGCTGGCCTTGAGGGAAGTAGTAGGGCACAGTGCTCAGAGATGGAGAAGGACAGGTCACTTAGCTGGAGATGGCTGGTTAATAATGACAAACACTGTCCTTCCTTACAACTCACGATCTACTGTTTTTTATTGCTCTTCTACTTCATGCCATCTCTGGACGGTAGTGCTGATAATTTATCACACGAAGGTCATTACACAATCTGAGCAATGAGGAAGCCTGTCTGGCCTTCGTCATATGTACAGGTAACAAAATGTAATCAAATGGCCCCCCAGTAAGAAACACGTTCTCTGCAGGCAAATCTGTTCAGCTCTTATCTAACCTGGGACACCTGGGAACATTGGGCCTCTGCTGAATAATTGCCCTGCAGCTGTGCCCAGCCTGCCCCATCCCCTGCTGATTCGCATGTTTGCAGAGCACAACCCCCTGCCCTGAAGACTTATTAATACGCTGGTCACACTCTGTGCAGGAGTCAGTCTCAGTCAGGACACAGCATGGACATGAGGGACCCTGCTCAGCTCCTGGGGCTCCTGCTACTCTGTTTCCCAGGTAAGGAAGGAGAACGCTAGGAATTTACTCAGCCCATGTGCTCTGTACTGCCTGGCTCTTCACAGAAATTCTCTTACAACATAACTAATTGTGTGGATAATTATTATTTTTCCCTCTCAGGTGCCAAATGTGACATCCAGATGACCCAGTCTCCAACCTTCCTGTCTGCATCTGTAGGAGACAGAGTCACCATCGCTTGCCGGGCGAGTCAAAGCATTCACAAAGGATTAGCCTGGTATCAGCAGAAGCCAGGGAAAGCGCCTAAGCTGCTGATTTCTTATGCATCCAATTTGTACACTGATGTGCCATCGAGGTTCAGTGGCAGTGGATCTGGGACAGATTTCACGCCCACCATCAGTAGCCTGCAGCCTGAAGATGCTGCAACTTATTATTGTTTCCAGTAAAATAGTTACCCTCTCACAGTGTTACAAGTCAGAACATAAACCACCCAAGGAAGAAGATATGTAAGGCTGGGCTGCCCAAGATGTTCCTCTTGCAGCTCCATCTGCTGACAGCATTTCTTGGAAACAGCCACATTTTGAAGGTCACTTTTGGTTTTGGTAGAAGGAGTCAGGGATGCTCCTCTGCACTTTAAGTCTCTTCTCCTCAGCCCCAGCAACACAGGCAAGACCATTTATCTCATGAGTTAATTAACGACAGCCTGTTACACTTGAGTAGTTTGGATTATAACATCAGTCAGTGTTCATAAAATAAGGAAAATCAGGCCGGGCGCGGTGGCTCACTCTTGTAATCCCAGCACTTTGGGAGGCCGAGGCGGGCAGATCACAAGGTCAGGAGATCGAGACTATCCTGGCTAACGAGGTGAAACCCCGTCTCTACTAAAAACACAAAATATTAGCCGGACGTGGTGGTGCACACCTGTAGTCCCAGCTACTCGGGAGACTGAGGCAGGAGAATGGCGTGAACCCGGGAGGTGGAGCTCGCAGTGAGCCGAGCGAGATCGGGTGCCACTGCACTCCAGCCTGGGGGACAGAGTGTGAGACTCCATCTCAAAAATAAATAAATAAAAAAAAATAAATAAATAAGGAAAATCTTCTGTGGATATTCCAATAGGTTTTTTTTTTTTCTTTTTACACAAGGAGTTATATTTTAAACTATAGCCATTAAAATCTAATTTTATCAGCTATGATAATCAGGAAAGTTGACACTAGAAATGGGGGGATTTCCTGGTGCTCCCCCAGAAGCCAGAGCACATTTTCTGCTGAAGGTATAAGTTACTTAACCAGGTGGTCCTCAGACCTGTCTGGTATGCTGAGGGGTGCAGGTGCTGATGCTCACAGTTGCTTGTAACACCTCTCCAGCTGATTCTTCAGTCCTCACCTGTGTCCACCTGTCTGTCCACAGATGCTGATGGCTAGTATTGAATCCTGGTCTTCTGACCTCCAAATCTCAAATGAGATTTGATTAAAACTATACAGACAAATACAGATATCGCATATGTTTCCCTTAATATGGAAATACCTTGCTGTTCAAAAATTGTTCAGAAATTATAGGTAACTTGTTAGAAATGTGAAATAGAAGTCTGTATACCTATTGATGAGAATGTCCATTTTAACAAAATACTAGGGGGTCTGTGTAAGTTTAGGATGCTGTGTTTAAAGGGACATTTATGGCAGCCAAGGTGACCATTTTTTTTTCAATGAGGTTATCTTGAAAAATTCTGTCTAAAGCCACACACTGAAAATGGTCTTGCTTTCCTTTCAAATTAATGGAATTTTTTTTTGAGACAGGGTCTTGGTATGTTGCCCAGGCTAGAGTGCAGTTGCACCATCATAGCTCACTTCAGCCTCGAACTCCTAGCCTGAAACAATCCTTCTGCTACAGCCTCCTGATTAGCTGGGACTATTGGCATGCACCACCTCTCAGCTTTTTGTATTTATTGTAGAGACAAGGTCTTGTTATGTTGCTTATGCTGGTCTTGAACTCTTGACGACAAGCAATCCTCTTATCTTGTCCACCCAAAGCATTGGAATTGTAGGTGTGAGCCACCACCGCTGGCTCAAAATCATATTTAAGACTTATTTAAGATTGTCAAAAATGAAATATATAATTATTTTTCAATGATGTCTTCAAGTATCTTGGAAATTAAACGGGGTAAAAGTGTTTTTGTTGTTGTTGTTATTTTTCTCCAAGATATTGGATTAGAAAGTTTGTAAGCATGCCTCATCTATTTGGAGATAGCAAAATTGTGTGTTAGGGATTCACAGTGTGAACTTTTATCCAGAAGGAACATGGGACCTCAACATAAAAGTACAAGAAACTTTAGATACTTTGAAAAATATGGTGGGCAGCAATCTGCCCTGCTGGTCTAGTGGAGAACTGTGAGCCTCCAGTGCAC